TTAACTCCCTTCCTTCTTTTTTGTGTTTGTTACTCTCTTGTAACACCTCTAATCTTCGGCACTTATATGACCATATTGTGTTGCAAGTGCTGTAACACTCTTACTAGAACTAAAACTCTTACTGACAAATCCTTCATGGTGACAACAAAGTCAGCCAATCTGGGGCTCAGAATCTGTTTCAAGCGTCCATGATTGCTGCACTTGAGAGAGCTTCCTTTCCTTCGTCTCATCAGCTGTTTTTGTGTCTACCTCTTGACCTGGCCTGTGGGAGCTTGTTGTGAGCTGTCCTGTCTGCTCTGGCCCGGTCTCTCCGTTACTTGTCGTTACTTGTCGTTACTTGTCGCTGTGGCTATCTTTGTGATCTGTGTGGGATGTTTGTAGTGGGCGGGCGGTTGGAGGGCGCCACTGGTAGGTCCTACTTCTTCACTTTCCCTCTGTTGTTTCTGTCTATCTGCTTCCCTTTTGTGGGTGGTTGGCGGGTGCTCTGGTGTGGTTTGCTCCTTCTTTCCTATCAAACGTCTATCGTCTTTATCTCCCCTCCTTCTTTTTTGTGTTTTTTACTCTTTTGTAACACCTCTAATCTTCGGCACTTATATAACCTTATTGTGTTGCAAGTGCCGTAAAACTCTTACGAAAACTAAAAAGCTTCCCTTTTTCTCAGCAGCACTAAGTGACCATTATTGAGTCTATGTGCTTCTCTTTACTCAATCGAACAAATTTTTGTATTTCTAGTGGAGATGTATATTATTATGAATACTTTCTTTTGCTGAATGAGTGGCTGGAGAGTGCTCTGACGTGGTCTGCTCCTTCTTTCCTATCAAACATCTATCATCCTTATCTCCCCTCCTTCTTTTTTATGTTTGTTACTCTCTTGTAACACCTCTAATCTTCTGGCGCTCATATGACCTTATGCAGTTGCGAGCGCGGTAAAACCCTCTACTAAAACTAAAACATCTAAGATATCGTCCTTATCTCTCTCCCCTTTTGTCCATCTGTGAGCCACCGGTGTCTGTGGTGTAGCGGTTAGGGGGTTCACTGTCGCATGCAGGAGACCCGAGTTCAATTCCCAATTAGGGTGAAAATTTCTGTTGAGTATCTATCTTCAAAAATTTTGTATCTCTGACTGGCAGGGTCGGAAGCCTGCCTCGTAGATTTATTTAAATGATCTGATTTGTGTCAATGGGGACGTAACACCCCCCCCCCCCACACATTTGGCTGTTAACCACCGAATTGATACCCTCATAGCCGCGAAGAAGTAAAGTAACACTTTTGTGTGTGTGTGTGTGTGTGTGTGTGTGTGTGAAACGGAGTTGCACTGACACTCACAGTTGTTTCTGTTGTTTCAGATTGATCTGGCATAACTGTTCAAATAATTTAAAAAGATAAGGTTGGATGTGGCCACTTGGGGTGGGTTGTTCGCCTGGCACCAGTTTGTGCCATTGATTGTCATGATAACCTGAAAGACACGACGACCTTTAAGCAATAATTTGCTCACGAACCAGCCGGTAGGGATAAAATCCTGCAGAGTTGGGATAATTTAGTTCAGTCAAGAATTTTGTAAATAATAATAATAAAAGATAGCATTTGTATAGCGCGACTCCCCGCTCAACAGCAAGCTCTATGCACTTCACAATCTATACTATTACCCCAGCAGACCTGAGAGCATTCTGAAACAATCTCACCTTCCTGGGAAGCATACAGTGCAAGCAGCCATTTATAGGCGCTAAAACACTAACATACTGACAAGATCCTTTGCTGTCTATGGCCGGGTACCCATTTCCACCTGGGTAAAGTGAGGAAAATTCATGTAAAGTACCTTTTCCCTAGGACAACGTCGGCCCTGCGGCTCGAACCCCCAACCCCGCAACCTCACGATTACGAGTCCGGTAGCCTAACCACTGTGCCACTGACGCCACAACTGCAGAAGGTCATAGTTACTTTACAAATCAGTTTGTTTCTTCTGCCAACGAGTGTGATCAGTAGCGACAGTGATTGTCTCTTTGTGTCTGTACAATGTTTTTTTTTTTGGTGATTAATGTGTATAATGATATATACATGAAACTTTGATTTAAATTTTATTTTATTTCGAAGCGCCTGGAGCCACCAGGGAGTGGGCACCATAGAAATTGTATACTACAATTTTTAAAAAATAAAAAATGAAATAAAATGTATGAGCTCACGGGGGAAAAGAGATGTTGCTTGAACGATGCCTGATGAAGGAGAAGAAAATCTGAATGGACACACTGGTTGGGTAATGTTGAACTTTTCCCTCCTCTACACGTGTGGGGGAGTAAAATAGAATACAATATATAAATACATGTACTTTACTGATCCTTGAGTAAAATTTTGGGTAGATAGAACATGAGCATACAAATATTCAGTTTCAAAACAGAAATGCACTCGTTGTGTTCATGTTCAATGGTACACGTACAAGGGTGCAGAAATCTGTAACACATAATGTGTGCTGTGGGCATGAACTCTTTCTTCCCATCTCTCTCTTTGTCTCTCTCTTTGTCTCTCTCTTTGTCTCTCTCTCTCTCTCTCTCTCTCTCTCTCTCTCTCTCTCTCTCTCTCTCTCACACACACACACACACACACACACACACACACACACACACACACGCTTTTACACACACACACACGCTTTTACACACACACACACACACACACGCGCTTTTACACACACACTCACACACACACGCTTTCACACACACAAACACATGCACACTAACACTCAAACAGTCTTCTCTCTGTCTCTTCTACACTCATCAGGCGCATACATAAAGCATTAACTCTTTCAAAATATTGTTCTCTACCCTGTTGGTCTTCAAATAATAATATATTGCTCTCCTCAATGTGATAGAAGAGGGGACAAAAGATTGTTGTGAATGAAATGTGGGATTAAATACTGAAAGAAAAGTTGTTTTTATATTTGAAGTTTAAGTCCTAAAGAAGAAATGTGTTATGTGTGGGTGGTTGGTGGGTGCTCTGGTGTGGTTTGCTCCTTCTTTTCTACAAACGTCTGTTCTCTTTCTTTTTTTTTTGTTGTAGTTACTATCTTGTAACACTTTCAATCTTCAGCACCGGGGCTCTTGTGGTCTAGAGGTACAGTGTTCTCTTCTCATGCTATACGTTGCGGGTTTGACACCTGACAGCGATCGAAAATTGTCTTCTAAAAAAATGTTTCCTTTCTCCTCCTTTCCTGCCCTCTCTAAAAGTACATTGCAAGTGCCACACTGCCCTTATAACAATGGGAACTAAAAATTGTGTTATAGAATGTGTCAGATCCTAAACATTTATAGTAGCTAGTGTTTCCTTGTTGCCTTCAGCGTTCAAACTACGCTGTGAAACCAAATGTTGTTTCGCTCATCAGGATTATGCAGATTTACTGTTTTTGTGTGTGTGAAAAACATTCTCCCATTAATTTGTGGTGTCTGCGGTGAACAGATCAGAACATAAATACCACCAGCTAATTAGTTTTTCAGGTTTTATTATGCATAACATGTTTGGTTTTTTTTTTTTCTTTTCTGTGGCACTGTCATCTACTATCTACATGAATGTGTCATACTAGCTCTATATACAGAGGGCTTTAATTGTAAAACTTCCCTCTCCATCCAGAAATGTTATAGTAGGTGTAGGTAGTTAGTAGTGCTGGGCGACGAAGTTCCCCATTGTTGAAAGCTAGGAGTCGTAGGAATCAACTCCGAACCCAATTACTTACTTTCTAATGATGTGATTTCTTCCGGTGGTTACTTGGTTGACTCCGAACATCTCCAGGATTTAGGATAACCTTGATTTCGGAATATTACGAAGCATCAACTTTTATTTGTCAAAAATACATTCTTTAAAAAAGAAGATTTTAATGATTAAAGTAACAGGTAACCGTTGGTTTACGTAAAAGGGAGTTGGAACTTTTCTTCCGTAGCATTAATGCATTAATCATGGGGATCGGTTCCGGAATCAATTCTTCGCACATCACTAATACAGCAGACGCATTTTGAGTGAGAGACTTCTGTAAAACAGCGTTAATTATTATTGACCCACATGTCAACATTTTATAGTAGATCTGAAAGAGTACAATGAAGTTTGGATATTTGGAATGTATTTTTTTTTTTTACTATGGGGAAATTACTTTTTATGTGAGGCCAGTTTTTAAAAAAATCTTCTATAAAAAAAGAAGTCTTTTTAAGTGGAGGTGTTTTTTCTACCCCCGTCAACGCAATTTAAATAATTTAGGAAGCTAGCTTCCAACCCAACCTATCTGGGCCAACCCAGGCTGAGAGGGATACAACATCTGAGCTGAAAGACTGAGATACTCGATAGAAATTTCTCCCGTTGTGGAGTACCCCAGTTTAGCGGGTGGTTAGAAGTTGCCACTGGTAGTGGTAGATCCCAATTCTTTTCCTTCCCTTTGTTGTTTCTTTCTGTCTGTCTTGCTTCTTCTGTGCACTGTTTATAAACGATACTGTGTCAATGGGCTTCTCTTTACTTAATGTACCCAAACTCAGACTCTGGGGATGGTTGGTGGGTGCTCAGGTGTGGTTTTCTCCTACTTTCCTCTTTCAAACTTCTGTTGTCCTGATCTTTGATAGTTGAAGCAGACCTTGTGCTGTTGAAGCTAGAGAGGTGGGCAGAGTGGGTCTGATTCCCTGTAAAGTCTTCTCTGTTGGACCCCCCCCCCCCCCCTCCCCCCCCCGGGCGCTCATATGACCTTATGCAGTTGCGAGTGCCGTAAAACCCTCTACTATAATAATAATAAAATGATCTCTTCTCTTTCTTTATTATATTTATTTCTGTCTTGTAACACCCCTAATCTTTGACACTTATATATATATGGCCTAACTGTGTTGTTGCAAGTACCGTCAAATTCTTACTAAAACATGAAACCCACTCAGACCCATACACTTACTTCATATACAATTGTGTGTTGGCATAGGTGTGTTGTACCAGTGGATTTCTGTCGACATCTGGTATATTTTTTTTTGTTTGTTTATTTTCAGACTCGACTATGAAGCGGCGCAGCGAGGGAAGAAAGAAAGGACAGACGACAAGTGCTTCCCCAGCCTCCACGGGGAGCACAGCCACAGCGAACGTTTCCACGACGACATCATCATCCTCTTCCCCGTCCTCGTCATCCCCGTCCTCCACACAGTCCAGAGCCTCGAAGCTACGGCGAAGGAATGCGAACAATCTCTCCGGTGACTCAGCGGAAAACTCGCCCAGTCGGCCTGACAAAGTGGCCACGCCTGAGAGAAGGTCTCCGTCGGTGACCGATGCCAGGTCCCAGAAGTTAGAGATATCTGAGGAGAAATCCTTGAGGGCTGAGGTCAATCCGGTGAAAGGAAAGTCAGACGCTGTGGATAGTTCGAGCGTTTCTGATTCTGGTGGAGCCAAGAAGGGAAGTAGCAAAAGCCAAGGGAGAGGTGGGGGTGGGTCTTCTACCGCCTCGTCCTCCTCATCCTCCTCATCCTCCTCCTCCTCCTCCTCCGCTGCTGCAACTACAACAACAACAACAACAAGAGGTGGGAGGACCATACGGCAGCCGCGTAGAGATGGTGATGGGAAAAATGGCACCAACTCTCCCCAGAGGTCAAAGACATTGACCCCTCAGTCATCCTCCTCGTCCCTTCCCTCCTCCTCCTCCCCCTCTCCCTCTTCCTCCTCCTCCTCCCTGTCCTTGAGGTCAGACAGTCATGCCCCAGCTCTCCTCAGCTCCCAGTCCGTCATCACAACCACAGCCACTGCCTCTTCAAATGCTCCGACAACATCTTGGAGCTCCGTGCCGTCCTCGTTAGCGGTGAAACAGGAAGTGACAGAGTCGAAACTCTCGACCGTGCTTCTCTCGGGTTCGTATCCCCCGGCCTCGGTACTTGGCTCCTCCACCTTCTCCTCGCCCCCAGCCCTGGCAGCCAACAGTTTGAGAAAGGACTCGAACCACCAATCTATGGGCAACACGTTTGTAAGCCTTGCCTCGACCGTCTCCATAACGTCCCCCCTGGCCTTGTCTCACGGCTCAGCGACTGCCTCCGGCGGCTCCCAGATTGTCATGCAGGGAGGTAGCTCCTCCCACTTTCAGCCCCGCCCACCCTCCACGTCCAACCCACCAGCCCCCGGACAGAGTGAGTTTTCTAAACTGCCGAGCACCAGCCTGGCCTACCCCGGGCCTGCCTACACTCAGACCATCAAACTTACCGGCTACCCGCTGAGTGCTACCACTGGAGCTTCGATTTCTCTAAGCTCCGCCTCTTCACACATAGACTCCGCCCCTTCTGTTTCCACATCTGGATCTCACAGCGGCTATCACCCAACGTCGCTGGTGCCGCCAGGGCACCCCGTGGTATCGGTGTCGCCGGCTGTCACGACTGTTTCTATTTTGAGCCAGCAGTTGAGTGCGGGGCTTCGGACAAAACCCTCGTACAGTCACCGGGGGCCTGGTCTGGTGACCGCCTCCGGACTGCCCATCTCCCTCGCCCCCAACGTCTCCCCGCCTGCAGCTGCTACAGCCGATCAGTTGTCGCGAGTCGCACTCCCCGACCCTGCCACATCGCAACACCACCATGAGCAACAACCTCCTGGGGGTGGGGGCTCAGGGTTTGTCCCAGATTTTGAACGCAAGAGCATCGCTATCCCGCCTAAAAAGAGGAAGGCGGCAGAAATGGACGCTGAACCTGTCCAGGTTTCGCTGGCGAGACCTCTGATGGTTTCCACCTCGCACATTGGGAGCTCTGCGGCGATGAAGAAACCTCTGATTGATCTCAACGAGTGGAAGAACCAGCGCGTCCTAGCCAAGCGAAATCATGCGTTTGAGGTCGGGGTCATCAAATTGATACACTCCAACCACCTGGACCTCGATGTGGAGTTTGAGTCGGACCACATGCTCATGACCTTCTCGAATGTGTTTGACCTGCAGAACTGCACCCTCGTCGGAGATAACTGCCCTACGACCTCAACGCTCACCGTTGGCCGGACCGTTTGTGTCCGAGTGAACCAAGAGAAGCAGATATTCTACGAGGGGATGATAACGGAAAAGCGGACCAACCCCGTGGTGTTCAAGATTAAACTGAAGCGGCCGTTCCCTCCCTCAGCTGCCGGGGAGAATGTTCCGGAGGATATCTACGCGTCCAGGGTCAACATCCGTCTGCTGCAGCCCCCGTGGTACGAAGACCTGGAGGAGCTAGCGATGAGCGGGGCGGCCCCTCTAGCCAGCGATGCCTCGTCCAGCGAGTGTTTCTCTCCCGTGGGTCCGATCCCCAGCTCTTCGCACCACGCGGCGGCCAACTACCGGCAGGAGAGACCCGTGTCGTCCAGTGCGGGATCTCTGGAGCGGGCTGACTCCTCGGATGACGAGATGATGAACGACTCCATCAGCTTTGACTCCTCGGGGATGAGCACTCCCAGGTGAGTGAGTGAGTGAGTGGGTGAGTGACGAGTGGGTCAGTGAGTGAGTGGGTGGGTGAGTGAGTGAGTGAGTGAGTGACGAGTGGGTCAGTGAGTGAGTGGGTGGGTGAGTGAGTGAGTGAGTGAGTGATGAGTGGGTCAGTGAGTGAGTGGGTGGGTGAGTGAGTGGGTGGGTGGAAGAGTCCTGTCTGTGTCTTGCTCTTTCCCTGTGAGTGAGTCCTGTCTGTGTCTTGCTCTTTCCCTGTGAGTGAGTCCTGTCTGTGTCCTGCTCTTTCCCTGTGAGTGAGTCCTGTCTGTGTCCTGCTCTTTCCCTGCACTATGACTGTTATTGATTGTGTTGAGAGTTGGGTTTTTTTGGGGGGTAGTCTAAACAAAAGAACAAAGCATCAGCCGGCTGTTCTGCCCAAATTTTTTAATTAAAAAAAATCTAAATCGTAGTTTTTTAACCTTTGACATCGGTCTCAGAGGTCCTGTCTTTAAATAACTTTAAAGTGTTGATAGGGGTGTTAAATCCAAACACTTGGTCTTGACTATGTTTTGTTGAATATGAGGACCATGGGGCTGTACTTTTATAGGAAAAAGGTGAAGTGGTTATGGGCGAGCATGGAGGTGACTCATTGGCCATGTCATGATGAATGACTTTCTCAACTTTGGTGTCTCTTGGTCTGCCACTCCCTCTCCACCCCA